CCTCCTCCTCCTCCTCCTCCTCCAAATTTGCATGCCAGCTAAGGACAGTGCAACTTTCATAACTATAGATTGGGATAGGATAGGATAATAAGATAAGATAATAAGATAGATGAGATAAGGCAAGGCAAGGCAAGACAACCATTATTGTCATCTTTTTCTGTGAATACACCGGCACACATTAAAAATGAGATATATGCAGGGGTGAAGTGCTACCAGTTCACACCAGTTCCCCCGAACCAGTAGTAAAAAAATGTAACTGGTTCGGGCAAACTGGTATTTCCGACGATCAGCTCAGACACACGATTTATATTAGCTAGAATTGTTGGATTTCCTGCTTTCTAGTTAAGCTAAATCGCGTGGCACAGCAGATTCCCTCTCCCCTTCACTGTTCTATTTACCTTTGCAGACTCGAAAGGCTTCCTTTTTTAGCGCAGCACGGACGCGCCTCAGGTGCACATGCACACGCAAAGCACACACTCGGTAGTAGACTCACCAAACCGGTAGAAGGCTTCAGAGGATTTCACCGCTGGATATATGCCAGTGGCCATGTGCCCATACTTGGTTCACATGACCATGAGGATGCTGCAAACGTCTTAAATGTGAAAAAGAATAATAGGTTACTATTTTCCAGGGTTGTTGTAACTTTGAATGGTCACAATGAATGGTTGTAAATCGAGGACTACCTGTATGCTGTTATAATTTAGAAGAAGGGATCAGATAACTTTAAATAAATGCAAAAAAGTCATTGTCATCTATGATGATTCCCCCCCCCAGCTGCCATATGTATTTAATTTCACTCAGTCCTCATCCTCTTTGTTCTCGTTTCTACAACCAGTAGTCATCTGGGAAATGCAACTCTTGCCAGATTTCTTTGCTTGCAAGAGTCTGATGGTTTCATGATATAAAGTCAATAGCAAACAGCATCTCAGTCCCTCTGTGGTGTAAAGTTGTTGGAACTGATAGCTAGATTTGTGTTGTATAACAAATTAAATAGCTTATTTTCAAAAGAGGCCTGAAAACCTGTATTTCACAATGAGATTAGGCTGCCTTTTCCTGTGGGAAGTGATTTATAGATACAGTAGGCAATTCTCAACATCAACACCACATACTTAATATTCTGCTTTACACAGATTTTGCAGGGAGAGGAAATAGGTTTAATCAATCTCAACCATGTTAAAGTATTATTATGTGTACCAAAAGTAGCCGAAATGTTTTTTTTTAAGTTGTGACTCTTACACTTTTTACTTCCTTCAGATCTTGAACTGTGCTTGCCAAGCACATAAACCTTTAGCTTAGAAAATTAATCTTGGCGTCAGAGTGATTAGGAGCCTCGATGCTATGAATACTATAATGTTTATTGCTTGGTCCCATCAAAGCATGTGTTATGTGTTTGATTATTATGTTACCCAAACATGTCATATGATTAGAAATTCTTACTTATTTCCCCAAACACTGAATTAGCTTAAGCTCTTGTCTACATTTTGATAATTTTCTTCATTACAAAAGATTACTTTTGTCTCCTAGGATAATTCCTGCATCCTCTATAGCAGGGGTGTCAAACTCGATTTCATTGAGGGTTGCATCAGGGTTGTGTTTGTGTTTGACCTTGGGGGGCCAGAGTGGTCGTGACCAGGTTGGTTGTGGCCAGCTCAACGTCACTCCTGTTGGGGGCACCTGTGACTCTGCCAGAGAAAATGGGCTCCCAAGCTCCGTTTTTGGCTGTGATGGCCTCTGCCAATGAAAACAAAGCTCAGGAGAGCCACATATAGCACTCCCGAGCTCTGTTTTCACTGGCAGAGGCAGCCCAGGCCAGTCCTTCACTGTTTCCAGGGCAGCCCCCTGGGCCAAATCTAAGTACCCCTTCGGCCAAATCCGGCCTGCAGGCCTTGAATTTGATATCCCTGCTCTATAGTATAGGGTATTAGTTTATAGGTTAATACATATAAAATCGCAAGATAAACAGAGTGGGCTTTTTATGAATAGGCATTGGGGTTATGAATCTAGATGTTATACTTTGATTTGAGGTAGCCTAAAGTGCTGATTGGTTAGTGGGTAATATGCCACAAGAATATGTTCCAACTCTTTTTTCAACTTGGGCTCTGCCTCCTTAAGATTCTGCCTGTTTTCAGCAAGTCTCTGGACTTGTCTCAGATAGATAGCATCGGTCTTGGTTAATATTTGGTTGGAATGGTATAGGGAATTTTTCCAATAAATTATACTGGATTTTTTTTAAAAAAATGATCTAGTAAAACAGATTTAGAAAACAAAATTCCACATTATTGTCAAGAAAATTATTTGGGTGTCCGGAATTGAAGTCTATTGGAAGGAGACTTTAAAATTAAAATTAGTTTTCCACATTGTCCCCATTTTATGCCTACCATGTTATGGTTTTTTGAGCCAACATCATTTTAGCAAGTATCAAAAGTGAGATGTTTTAAACATAAACTTCAAGGAAGCATATTAAAGAGTTCTCATTCAAGCTACGTCTTCATAATTTATGGCCTTATCAATTGCCTGACCCTACCTTATGGAATACCTGCAATCCCAGAAAAGTCTTAAGTTTACAGTTATTTCTATCTGAGTTCAGTTGGCTCTGCAGGATTTGGCTATTGGCATAATAGTGCAAATATCCTTCTCCTAATATTTGCACTGATCTGTTAAAAGCATAGTTTGTACATAGTAGCAGATGGCAAACAACTGAAATTGTGTTGTAGTGAAAGGAGAAATAGCATTGTGGGACTCTAGCCAAAGCTTTATTGAAGCCTCTCTGGGGTTATTTCAGAAAAGAATAGGACAGGATGTTTAGTTTCGTTATAAAGGATTGAAATTCTGCTGTCTTAAAAGCTCATTCCATTCTAAATAATGTATTTCAAACTAACTGATTACACTATTAATTAAGTAGTGCACATGTTTAGCATTGCCCATCAGAGAACAGTAAAGAACTGATTTAAAAAGCCTAGGTGATGCTAATTTTTAAAATTGAAATGTTATGCTATTACACATATCCCTCCTTTGCTGCTTTATAAGCACTGAAGCTGGCTTGCCACAATAAAACAAAATGCCTAAAATAAAATCAATAACCTCAAAAATGTTGGGTTGCAACAGCCTAAAATGTGGCCTAAAAAGGGACTGAATGGCAGATAATTCAGAATATTATAATTGGGTTATGTGACTAAAAGATAAGATTTCTCCCAAACCCCCCCAAACCTCCATTACTCCATTACCTTCCTTGGTAATGCAGTGTGTCTTTGGCACTTCATCTCTCTTCTTGGCTCCCTCCCATGTTTCCTGCTGCCTAGCTCTTGGAAACTGCAGGCTTCTACCCTAATTTCCTGCTGTGAAACAGCTGATGGGCAGCTGCAGCGATTGGATCAGGCTGCTGCTTGAAAGGCGAAGGCTGCTATGGTTCAGGGAAGGTTGTGTATATGTGCAATAGAAGAGCTGTTCACTTGTTCTTAAAAAAATTGCCTCAGGTTCAGTATTTTTGGAATGTGAAACTACAGGGTTTGGTTTTTAAACAATGTAAGCACTAAGCTCAACAATAAGAAGTGGTGCTTTAAAGGGCCTTCATTAGGAACTAGGAAGATAACAGCCTGTAGCTGAAATATCCACATGATTGGAAAAGTGACCAAAAACACCCCAAGGTGGAAGATTTTGATTAACCTTCTAAAGAACATTCTGTTGTTGCTAAGCTGCTGCTCAGAAATCATTCAGTGAGTGCTTCAGGATTGCACGGTTATAAAAAAAAAAGCAGACTAATACATTTAAATTTTTGATTACTATTACTGATTCTTAAATGCATCTCTTCAAGATTTCATTGCTATGACTAATTAATCAGTGAAAAGCAGTTAGAAAAAGATCTTCCTCTCCATTCAGTTGGTTCATGTGGCACCATCTCCCTGATCCTAAATATCGCAATTGCCTTTATTTACGTATTAGCTGGTTCCACCACAAAACCGCAAAGCCCTTATCTGCGCTGACATAAGTGCGGAGGCAAATCCGCGCCGTCCGAAGCGCTAAGGAAAAACGCGACCCTACCGCGATGACATAACCGCAGAGGGCAAATCCGCGCCTTCCGAAGCACTCAGGAAAAACGCGACCCTACCGCGATGACATAACCGCAGAGGGCAAATCCGCGCCTTCCGAAGCACTCAGGAAAAACGCGACCCTACCGCGATGACATAACCGCAGAGGGCAAATCCGCGCCTTCCGAAGCACTCAGCACCCTAAACCTAACCCTAAACCTAACCCCTAAACCTAATCCTAACCCTTACCTTAATTTAAATCGGCTTTCTGCTGCCACACTGTTTTAAAGCGCCCTTCTGTCGCCGCGCTGTTGTCGCGGCGGTGATGACGCGCGATGATGACATCACGGCTTTAGCGACGCGGTTTTATCTCCGCTATTTTGACGAGCGCGGTTTTGTCGTGCCACGGTATTAGCTTTATATAGTTGCTCATTTCATGACTCTGGGTGGCATAGAACATGTAAATAAAACTATCCAGAGATAAAAAAAACAATATAAAATATATAAATATTGCAAACATTTAAAATATACAATACTACAAGGCATGGAAAAAAATAAATATATCAACCACACTAGTGGAGCCATCTTAAAAAGGTCTTCTGTTCTCTGGGATCCTTGAGGGACTTCTGGAACATTAAAATTGAGGACCTGAGTTGGAGAGAATGTTCCATAGGGTGGGCACCATAGTAGAGAAGACTTGCCTTGTGGGACCCATTACCCTAGCAGATGGTAGCAACAACATACCTTCTTTGCCACATCTAATTGGATGGACTGTAATATAATTGAGAAAGATGGTTGTTAGATAACCCAGTCCTATGCCATGAAGGGCTTTAAACCAGCATCTTGAATTGGAGGTGGAAGCAAACTGACAGCCAGTGCAACTCACAGAGCAGAATGTCTATGGAGGTTCTCAGTCATCCAGGTCATGGTTGTCCCAAAGGTGCTTTTTTCAAGATGCAACTGGACTTTCTGGTTTTACTTTGAAGGTGTTTCACTTCTCATCCAAGAAGCTTCTTCATCTCTGGTTTTTGGATGAGAAGCAAAACATCCTCAAAGAAAAACCAGAAAGTTCAGTTGCCTCTTGAAAAAAGCACCTTTGTATCACAGAGCAGAAGTTCTGAGAACAATACATAATTGCCCATGTTGTTGCATTATGCACCAGTTGAAACTTCTTCAAGGGCAGCCCCATATTGAAGATATTGCAGTAGTCCAATCTGGAAGTGATTTAAGGTATGAGTGCCTGTGGGCAGAGCTTCCCAATTCAGAAATGGGTGTGACTGACATACAACATGAAAGCCTTCCCAGACATGAGTGTTGTCTATTCTTCAATCTAAGTCCAGAAGGACTCCCAGAGTGTGCACCACATTAATCTGCAGCAGTGTGAAACCCCCCACTCCATCCAAAGATGACATAGCCAGTGGTGGGATTCAGCCAGTTTGCACCACTTCAGACGAACCGGTTGTTAACTTTCTGAGCAGTTTGGTTAACTGATTGTTGGAAGAAATCATTAGGGCAGAGAACCAGTTGTTAAATTATTTGAATCCCACCACTGGACATAGCCTGAGAAGCAACAGGGCCCAAATCTAAAGCTGCTCAATTTTGCCAGGATTCAACTGAAGTCTGTTTTTCCCCTCCAGACCTCACAGCCTCCAAGCAGTGAGATAAGATATTCATGGCATTGCTTAATTTATCAGCGGAAGAGATATATAATTGGGTATCATCACCTTCATTCATTGTCATGTGAAAGCCATATTTATTCAAAGTTTCCACCAATGTTTTTATCCTAACAGCAGACACACAGCTCGGCCTTTCCTCTTCTGTGTTGTATAGTTTTGTTTTGGATTTGTTTCTGTGGCTTCAGACTATCATTCCTTAGCTGTCTCTCTTGTTGCAATACCATCTGCTGTCCCTCCACCCCAAATGGAGTCAGATATGTTTCAATATTTAACTCCATGCATTCCAGCTGTCCCTGTCATACTGAATATTCACCCTCTCAGGTCAAGAAATCTAGACACATGCAAATGATGAATTATTATATTACCCTAAACAATTTTTGCAGAACCTGCCCTGCTGATGATTGGCAAATAGTGCTGCAAAATTTTGGCTGCCTGATCAAAGTCATCCGATTATAGAAAAGGCAAGAGGAGCAGGAAAACATACATGCTCTCCCTCTGTTCTCATGTTTTCTCAAAGTCCTTCCACACAAAACATCATATTTCAAAACTCAAAAACACATCTGCCTGACATTAGTTGTGCACATTGTGCAAGTTTCTTATATTGCCATTGGTAACATGCAAGCATTCTGGAGTTGTCCCAAAGGTGCATTTTTTCAGGTGGCAACTGGACTTTCATGTTTTTTCTTTCGAAGATGTTTTGCTTCTCATCCAAAAAGCTCCTTCAGCTCTGACAGGATAGTGGGGAATGGAAGGATTTATATTCCTTGCAGACAGCTGGTCATCTGCATCCTTTTAGAGGGTCGTTGAAGCACTTGGAGTTTTATCTGTGCCCACAGGGTCACTTGAGTAGTGCTCCTGGTTCCTGTAATCTTCAATAACCCTCTAAAACAGGGGTGTCAAACTCAAGGCCCGGGGGACAGATCTGATCCACAGGGCCACCCTGGAAACAGCCCATTTTTGCTGGCAGAGCTCTCAGGCCACTACAGACACCCCTGACGAGTGATGTATAGCAGGCCATCCCCACCCTGCCTCCCGAGGTCAAATGCAGTGAAATCAAGGATGCAGATTGCTAGCTGTCTGCAAGAAATATAAATTCTTCCATTCCCCACTATCCTGTCAGGGCTGAAGAAGCTTCTTGGATGAGAAGCGAAACATCTTCAAAAGAAGAAACAAGAAAGTCCAGTTGCTTCCTGAAAAAGCGCCTTTGGGACAACCATGACCTGGATGACTGAGAATCTCTACACATTCTGGAGTTGTATTTTTCCATGCCCCAGAATAAATTGGAATTCATATCCAGAGATGTCTGCGTCGATAGCTTATTCTTCTTTTCCCCCATTTCACTTGCAGTGGCATGCCTTGTCGCGTGAAGAACAAGCAAAATATTACGAACTCGCTCGGAAAGAAAGGCAGCTACACATGCAACTGTATCCTGGCTGGTCTGCAAGAGACAACTACGTAAGCTTTGCATTTATATTGTCTCGATCTTGCTGTAAGGAAGACACAGCAATCTGAATGTGCCCATGGAACAAAAGCTCATTCATTGCATTGGCATTTTGTTCAGTTGGAGGTCCATACATTTCTCTCTCTCTTTTTTACATGTGCAAATGGATTCCAAATGTTCTTGTTTGTTTGTTTGTTTGTTTTGGTCCAGCTTTATATCTATGCGAAAAATATAAATGCAAAATGGCGATTCAGTATTAGATAATTGTTTTGCCTGTCTTGGCACAGGGATTTATGTTCTAAAACTGATCACTGTTTTGACATAGGCTTATCCTGTGGTTAATAAATACACATGACAATGATTGTCATTTGAATGATGTCCTACTGGAATTATCTTGGAATTTGTCTTGGCCATGTGAAATTTGTGTGTATGTGTAGTTGTCCTAAAGCAAACAAAAATGTAGTGTTCATTGAGTTGAGCAGCAATCCTTTTGGCTGTTATTGTTAAAAAGAAACAAGTTAGCAGCACTTTATCAAATTGTGAGTTCTTCCCCCACCCAAAAAAATAAGATTTTCACCCAGCAAATTATAACAATATTTCATTACAATTAAACAGTATGTCTTCCATTAACTTTGTAAATAGTTATTTAAGAAAAATCCATACTTGCAATAGCCAGAGACTTATTTATCTGAAAGTTGGTTAAGACAGGGCCTTGATAACTCTTAAATAAACAATTCAAAGAAGTGCCTAATCCCAGCCATAATTCTGACTTTGAAAATATAGTCTCTCACACATTCATTAAGATTTCAATCGATAGTGGGATATATCCTTAATCTCATGTGCCTAGTTAATGCCAGATAAATAGACTTACTGCCTTAGTCAAATTCCATAAAGGAGCCAATGAGCTTCCGTGCACAGTGAATCATCTTTGCCTAGTACCTACATTCATTTAACAAAGCAGTTTATGTGTCAGTCCATTTTGCGAATCTTATTCAGGTTTAATGAATTATGCTAAGATGGAAAGGGAAAAAAAGGATAACACCCTATCCAGCTATTGGAAATTAAGAGCATTAGTAGATATTTTGATTCTTAGCATGTGGGTTGTAAACTCCTTTAAGACTTCTCAGCAATACTTTTAGCAGCTTCTCAAATTAGACTCTATATATTGAGTTTGATTACTTTTCCCCCTCCTTAAATGTTCATGATACACACATTGTTCCAATTCTGTGTCTCACACATAGCTTGTGAAGGATATTTTCTTCAATGAAATGCCATACTATAATTTTTAATGAATTCCCTCTCCCCCTCTCCCACAATTCCCTTCAGTTTAAATACTGGTTATGAATGATGGATAAAACTTGACCTACTATGCAAAACTTAATTAGAAGAGGAATTTTGAGGTTATGATGAAATTTACTGGGGTTACCATGTATGAGGAAAAGCCCATGCTTACTCCAGGGTGCTGATACAGATGTTGCAATCCAGCATTTCTTGTAGCATAAAGTTAAATAAATAGTACAATACATTCTTCAATTCCCAGCAAGCAAATTCTTTTCCTCTCTCATATTTCCTGATCATTAAAAACGCTTTTTCTAGAATTTCTGTCACACTGGTCCTCCATTGAAGGGGAAAAATGCATCTGAAAAGAAGTTTGCAAGTAACTTTTGGTGAGATTGATGTGAACTCCATGACTGCCTGTTTCTTGTCAATCTGACAAGAATGGTGGAAATTAATATAAACAAAAAATAGCTTATCTACAGTGAAATATAGGCAAAATTTAACATTCATCTTTGGGAATTATGGAAACAAAGAAAACAACATAGAATATTTTAGGATTGCTTATATAGCAATAGCGCTTAGACTTATAAACTGCTTTATAATGCTTTACAGCCCTCTCTAAGCAGTTTACAGAGCCAAAATATTGTCCCGAACAATTTTGGTCCTCATTTTATTGACTTCAGAAGGGTGGAAGACTGAGTCAACCTCAAGCCGCTCAGAATCGAACTCCTGGAGTGAGTGAGTGAGTGAGTGAGTGAGTGAGTGAGTGAGTGAGTTAATCCGTAGTACTGCATTCTAACCACTGTGCCAGCATGATTCCGAACAATCTCTTTTCTTGTTATTTATTTCCTTATTATAAATAAAGACCCTTTTTCTTACTTTTTAAAGGGAAAGAAGAAAAAGAGGAAGAGAGAGAAGCTACAGGAGTCAACATCAGGTATATTTATGGGTAGATATTCATGTTAAATATTATTGGCTGTGTTTTAAAGACCAAGCACATTGCTTCAAGATGTCAATTTCTCTCTCTCAATGACAATACATATTCTATTAATTCTTTTTGATGTCACCACTATTGCCCTTATGCACCCAAGCTAAGAGTTTTAATCTCATTATAAAGGGATGCTTGGAATGGAGCTCTGTGGTTTGTTTCAGCAATTGTAGAAGAAATTAACTTCCATTCTTTTGGATGTGAGTAAATGCTCAGAGATTGGAAAATAGTAATGGCACCAGTAGGTTTAGATTAACAGGATTGCTATAACTTCTTTGCCTAATCTATATCAATAAAGAGTGGGGAGAAAGCCTTGAATAGGTCAACTTGTCCTTTTTCGTGCATGGACAATCTTTACTGAAGACCGTCCATGCATGAGAAATTACTGAAAGACTGTCCGTGTATGAGTTATTTCTGAAAATTATAAAACTAACCATCAACTTATATAAGCAGTACCAGTTCAAAATAATTAAGAAGCAATGACAAAAAGTCAACTGCCTTTTATTATTTGGTACCATTAGGGACATGGTGGCTCAGTGGCTAAGAAGCTGAGCTTGTCGATCAGAAAGGTCACAGTTCAGCAGTTCGAATCCCTAGCACCATGTAACAGAGTGAGCTCCCATTACTTGTCACATCTTCTGCCAACCTAGCAGTTCGAAAGCACATAAAAATGCAAGTAGAAAAATAGGGACCACATTTGGTAGGAAGGTAACAGCGCTCCGTCCGCCTTTGCCATTTAGTCATGCTGACCACATGACCACAGAGACGTCTTTGGACAGTGCTGGCTCTTTGGCTTTGAAACACAGATGAGCACCACCCGCTAGAGTTAGGAACGATTAGCACATATGTATGAGGGGAACCTTTACCTTTACCATTGCTTAGATTCAGGAAACATTAATTGAGAAGCTGTTTTGTTTCTCCGTGCCGTAAATTGCATTTTAGCTTCATCAATCCACTACTGAGTTCCAGAAGGGTGAAGAATATTCCCTTTTGGGGGCTGTTAAGCAGAGGTTTTAGATCAACTTATTTCTTCATTGGAGAAGAGTCCATTGGAGCAGCTTATGAACCTTGTAAATAAATCAATACATCTCATGGATAAATTATGAATTAGTAAATTCATAGAGCTAAACAGACCTGTAAAAGATTTAAATCGAAGAAGAGGGGTTTTATATTCTTCTAAGAAGACTCCAAACCAAACTACTTCCATATTGTTGCCAGGAAAACTGCAGAATCAAGCACCATTCACAGAAGACTTTTTATTAACATACAGCACATTAAAAATAAAATAGAAGTGGTTTAAAATCTTTCTGCTGAAAGCATCAGTGAGGTGTTCTCTTTTTAAAAAAATGGCTGGTATAAGAACCATAAAAGGCAGAGAAAATCAATCAGCAATGCATATTCTAGCATAAGACCTTTTATTTGGGGTATGCAAAAAAAATATTCAGTGAAATTTGTTTAAAAAACCCAACAATCTCCTACAGGTACCGCCCCACGAATGACAGCTGCCTACATCTGAAGCATGGTAAGAATATTTATATATACATCAATAGATTTCCTAAATCTTTCCTACATTTAATATTTGGGGAAAAATCAAGAAATTATAGCACACGCAAATTTAATGTGCTACCCTCAAATGAATGTTCTTATGATTAATGGTTTTTATACCGGCTGCGTATTTTAGAGCCAATTCTTTTTTCCTTTTAGAATTTAATTTCATCATGCAAACTAACTATATACCTCACTGACTAGCTGCAAGTCTGAAGCCCAATGACTTTAATAAGCAGTTAAACCATTTTGACTGCCATCATACTGCAAAAATCTTCACTAGAAACACATTAAAACCAAACTGATTTGTTCTCAACATTATTTTATAATCTTCATTGGCAGGAAAAAAAGCATTTTAATTTCAAAATACTTATACATTGTAAGTAAAGAAAAACAGAACACCTAATATAATGTTTGTTTTTTTCAGGGAGGTCTTATTATTTTTGAGGTTCAGGGGGTGGCGAGCGTGGTAACTTCATGGCTGCTGCTGTGTTGCAATATTTTGGGGGAGGTCTTATTTTCAGGGAAACAGTGTGGTGTGTGTGTGTGTGTATAACATTTGTGTCATTTCATTTGTATGTTTGTGTTGTAGCATTTATGAATGCTAGAAAAATACTTCAATATTTCAATTTGAGTTTAATTCTTCCAACATTATGCTACGAATTGTGGATAGTGAATTCCAATATCAAGCATGGAAATCAGGAAACTCAGGCAGCTCAAATAAATATAAGGGTTTATTGCAAACTTATGCTCTCTACAAGAATCTGAACTACTAATGGTTTAAGCAAATTGATGATAGATAAGAGTCAATGGAATTAAAGGTGGGCTGGACTTAGATCTCTTGTGGGCATGAAGGGACTCAAGACTGATGACACATTTGATCCTTCCCTCGGGTTCAGCTGGGTCATCTCCTACATCCAATGATGTATTTAAAAAATAAAAATTCTTACATTAAATATTAACATGTAGTATCAAAATTTGAATGTATCTAATATAACAACCATTTAAATCTGACACTGAAGTTATTTCAGTGGTACATTTACCAAATCCTGCTGTTCATAACCATTAACCAAATAATCACCTTTATTAAGCTTCAATTCAAACACCTTCACTCATGATTAATCAAATAATATTTTTTTCATTCACTATCAAAATTATAGTTATTGGGAAGCTTAACCAGTCAATAAGCAGTAAAACATATTTTAATAGATATAAATTATTGATAAAGTGGAAATAACAAAGTCTAACTATGAATAAATATGTGCAAACTACTCTGCTTTTTACAAAGGATTCTAGGTTGTTCGGGGTTTTTTTTTTTTTTTTTAGTGTTTTCTCCACCTAATATGCTAAATTTGAAAAATAGTCCATTTTCAACCCTGGTGAAATTTCCTGAGTTTTAAGATGTTCTCTGTTTTGGGCAGTTCAAGCTGTTTCCGTTGCCTAAGAATATGGCTTTGTATTACAATAATATTTATATAATTTATATTTTAATTATAGTGAAAGAGAGTCTTTAACAATCAAAGACACATCCTACAACTATTTTAAATTACAATATACCTTGAATTTGGGTACAAAGAGTGATAATGCTCTTCACATAAATACTTGCATCATCATATTTTTCATCAAAAAGTTATGGTCATTAGTATATTGGGAGGGTTTCTTGGAGGGTGGGGGCTTCAGTAATAAATTGATCATCTTGTGCAAGTGTTAAGAAATCAGAAGTCTAGAAGTGAAGAAAACATTAAACCCTTCTCTTAGCACATCTGAATTCTTCCTGCTTCTCTTCCTGACTTGCGCAAAATAATAGAAGTAGTACTGGCCAGTCCAACCACTTCACTGCAGAAATCCCCATTAAAGTATCCTTTTCAGATATCCACCTTGCTACTTCTTGAACACATCTAGTGGAGGAAATCCACCATTTCTCTGGGCAATTAGTTCCAGTGTCAAACTGCTCTGTTATGCAGGATTTTTAAGCATTTAATTGAAATGTGCCTTTCAATAAAATAAATATATTGTTCTGTATCCTGTACTTATTTTTTATTTAAGTTTTGTTATTTTTCAATTTAAAATACATACATTCCATCTTTCTTTAAGCAGTGTGTCATCTGGGCACAGATATTTCTGTGGGACATAAATTATAATACATTGTACAGTTAAACCTTATAAATCTCTTCATTTCCTTCTTAACATGTCTTCTAACATATCTTCTAACATATATACATATACAATAATAACATTGAGTATTGTTATTTTCACCTCACTAATGCTAACAATTATCATTTTATTCTTTTCCCAGTCTTAATAACATTTTCTATACTTCTTTCTATCTTCTTTTATTTCCAATTTCCTTTTTTATTCTCTAACTGTTGGTAAAAGACCTCCTATATCGTATAATAATCAGATTGTTCTTTCTCCTTAATTGTCAATGTTAGTCCTGTAATCTAGAGTGGTGGAAAATAAGTCCTATTGCTTTAATATGTATGAATCTTTTTAAGTATTTGAAGAATGCTAGGATATGCCTCCTCGGTCTTCTGTTCTTGAAGCTAAACATTCCCAAATCCTCCTATCTTTCTTCACAGGACTTAGTGTCTAATCTTTGGATCATCCTCATTGCTCTTCTTTGAATCTGATGCAGTTTGTCTCAATCATTTTAAAATATGCCCAGTACTGGACAAATCTTTAAGATATTATTATACAAAGTAGTATTATCAAATCACTATTTCCCATCCTATAACTATGCATTTGGTTTCTTTTTCTAAATAAATAATTGTCCATTAAGTTTCTATTGGTTTCCCTTTAAGTTTCCATTGGTTTCCATTAAATTTCCTTTATTCATTTCTTGAAGATCAAGATTCTTTTCCATTTTATTTCTGCCTTCTAGAATATTTTTATCCCATCCAATTTTGTGTCATATGCAAATCTGATAAGCATTCCCCCTTCTTCATCTAAGGCATTAATAAAAATTTGGAAATGTACAAGACTACAGACAGAACCTTATGATACCCACTCAATACTTCATCCAGTTTGATGAGAATTTTTTAAATACAGATTTTTTTTTAGCCAACTGTGTATCCATTTAATTATCATACCCTCCAGCTCATACTTAATGAGCTTGCTAATCAGAATGTCATGGAGTACTTTATCAAATGTTTTTCTGCAATCAAGATACCTTAACTCTACAATATTTCCACAATTTATTAGAGAAACTAATAAAAAATGAGGTAGTCTGGCAAATTTGGCCTTGAGAAATGTATGCGACTTTTGGCAATTACAATATTGTTTTCAAGGTGCTATAAAATGATCCTTTTATGATCTGGCCTACAATCATCCCTGATATTGATGTCAGAATGACTTTTCTGTAGTTTTCTGGATCCTCCTTCAAAGATGCAGGCAGGATTTTGCTCTATCAGTCTTCTGGGACTTCTTCCATTCTCCAGGATTTATTAAACATGAACAAATTCCTCTTCCCGTACTTTAGGATGCAGTTCAGTACTCATTCAACTCATTCAAAATAAATAGGCATTGTCCAACCAAGTGCCAACTTGGCCCATTTTAAACCTTTGCTTTCCACATACAGCCACAGCCACAGCCACAGCCACAGCCACAATTATTGGTTTACCTCCAGTTTTTTCCAAAGAATCCGAATTCACCATGAAATAAGATGAAACTACACCAGTAAATGGCACCTATCATACTAACATAGTATTTGTAGCATACCTTTTTGAAGCAATAACTCAAGAAAGTGCTTTCTGCAGCTCTGAATAATAATAGTAATAATAAATCACTACATGTGAGGGAATTGAAATGCCAACTAATTAAATGCAACGAAAATGAAGCCTACAAATATTTAGGCATTCTACAGTTGGATAACATCAAGCATGGAGAA